AGAGAGAGAGAGAGAGAGAGAGAGAGAGAGAGAGAGAGAGAGAGAGAGAGAGAGAGAGAGAGAGAGATACGCGATCTTGAACTTTCGCATTGTTTCTTGGCACAGTGAGGCGCCTATTGTTGCAATTAATTAGGAAACGTGCTTTTTATTTGCAGAGTTGCTAAAGCGGCTGCATCGAGGAGGCAGTGACAGTTCCCTGAAAACGTCATAGCAGAGAATCCGTGGTGCGGGGAACAGGCAGAGAGCGACGGTCGAGACGAGAGCTTCGAAATTTCTCAAAGGTAAGGTTAGGTTATGATGTCGCGCGCGAATACACGGGGAATATACAAGCGTCGTATTATGATACAATACGCGTCGATACATTTTGGGGATTAAATCGACAAGTTAGAAGCTCGGGCTCGCATTTTTCGGCCGCATTTTTACGCCGATATCTCGCCGCGCGCGGACGCACAATGGACATTTCACTCGATATTCCCTCCCAAAACCTCAAAAACGAAGAGAAAACTTTTTTCCTATAGCCGCGGATCTCCAGGCAATGCGGACAAAAACTGTGAACACGCAACTCCGTTTATTTGTCACTTTTGTTTGAATACGCGTAGTTTTTAGCGAAGGCTCTAAATGGAAGGGTGAATGTATAGTCGGTGATTACTAAGTGCGTCACCTCCAGACGCAATTTTTTTACAGCGATAAGTCAGACAGGAATACGTCGAGAAATCGTTGCGAACCTCAATCACCGATTTAATTCCCGAGGACGCTTGCGAAGTATTCCGTCAATGATATATCTGCACTACTTTTAACACGATCTATACTGCGCGTTCGTATTTGTCACGTGATTCTCTGACATGACGTTTTCTCGTCTAACGTAAAAGTAACCCGGCGTTTCCAGGTCAAGTGTCGTGATTTTATAGAGTTATTTTGTCTGCGCCTGATATCGCGGCGAAAAAAGATGCCCTCTTCTGCTATCGTCAAAACCATTGCGATTCGTTCGAAGTGTCAGATACATTCTCTCGCGCTCTTATAGAAATATTTCCATAAAAATACTTTATCCGTGTTGATTTGTTTCGAGGTATCATTTTTTTTACGGTTCTCTTTCAAAATAATTAAGAACGTGAAAAACTCGAAAGAAAATTAGCATTTGGAAATGCTAATTGCGGATCATAATAATAAAAAAAAATGTATTGTTTCTTAGATTAATTCAAGGTGCGATTGCACTCGAATAAACTTTAAAGCGCAATTAGTTGTTCAGACATACCAGAGATCAGAAATTTATAAAATTCATCAAGGAACTTATTCGCGAAAAAGAAATCTCTACGCAAAAAATCGCAAACTACGTTTGACGAAAAATTTATCGAGGGAATATCGAGTTAAAATGGTTTACAAATCTATGAATGTAAGGTAGTGAGATGAATATTGAACACATCCTGTATCTGGCTTTCATCGAACTCTCTTCATCCTCTTTGGTTTATGAATTTGGTCGATACCGCGCCATGACTATTTATTTCGTTGAAAAAACAACTTATCGCACAAATCTCTTCATCGAAATTGTCGAGAGACGAAACAAGTTTTCTCTACGAATACGATGATTAATGAACAATAGCGCCCGTTATTTTTATAAATTGAGGAGCACTCTCTACTGACATCGCGAAATATACAATTGGGAGGCGTTTGTCGTAACAGTCTCGTCCAGGAAGAGAAAGGGAAACTTTTCGAAGGCGGGACATTCGAGGTGAGAAATTCAGTCGACCAAATTCCGCGGCGAGATAAAGAACATCTGCGGCAAAAATATCTCAACGCCGATGGTACGAGTCGCGAGATTCTTTCAAAATTACGTATCTTCGTCTCGTGTTTTTCGTATGCCGCGTTTACGACAGCTACCTCCGAAATTAACCAGACCCGCGTCAATCACGAGCTACGTATACATTTATCGACAATAATTTATTTCACCATTAATCGCTATCTCGTTAATTTGCAAGAAATTGCTCGCATTCTTCTTGCTGATATTTCTACCGTGCGCGACAAGTGATCTCGTGTACTGATAATTATATAAAAAGATAATTAGGTGAACTTAATGAATTCGTTGGGGAAACAATATTTCATTACCATACAATATTTCATTACCATACAATATTTCATTACCATCATCCCGTGGAAAGTTTAAACGTAGTATCACTTCCAAACTATTTGAGTTATTAGAAAAGTTCCGTCGCGCAGAACTTCGCGTCCCACACAACAATAAATAAGAACGTCCAACGACGCGTTGGTGTACGATCGTGTGTCTATTGCCATGTACTCACATATAAATTGACGAAAACAAACGGCACGTTGGAACGCCGAGTGTCAGAATATTTACGGCCGCGGTGTGCTTCAATCGTTGAAACATTTAGAATATCTCGATTAAAAAGTATCGATTTGAGTAAAGAGCGTTATGAGAGTGCGGGCGTGTTCAGCTAGAAGGTATCGTGTTGTCCCTATGGCACATGTTTGTACTCATCAGAATGACGTAAAACATTCATATAAACACGCGTCATGAAACACGCGTCTCTCCCGAGTTACAGGCACTTTTAGTTTTGGTGCTGACCTCACGTCAGCGCAGCGACAAGACGTGTTTGTTGACAGCATCAAAATTGTGTAAATGTAATGCGCGCTCTCTTCCCCGAGTTACACCCACTTTTAGCTTTGGTTCTGACACATCAGGAAATTTTGAGCGCGCCGGACTTTCCATGGAAGCGCTCGGCTCCGCAACGCATTGATGCGCGCGCGAAGAGTTCATTTTGAACGCGTGTACCTTGTAAAAAAAAACAGAAATTTCACCGCGTTTACCGACTATGTCGCTTAGTTCGTTGTATTCGAGTAGTTTGTTGCAAATTTCTATATAGACTTTGTAAAATATTAGGTTATTCCAGAAAAAACAGCCGTTAATATTTCTAGAAAAGACAGCCGTTCTTAACGAAGGAGATATTCCGTTCCTCATTTTATTTATTCGCAATTTTCAAATAATATATAAATATATATATATATATATATATATATACATATGTATGTATGTATATATGTATATATGTGAATATATATATGTGAATATATATATATATATATATATATATATATATATATATATAT